GTGTCTGTTGCTACGTATCTGTTGATACACAGGGCTGACCCACAAACAAGTGAAGTCCTCGGCATTGTTGGCTGATGAGCTGGCGCCATCTAACGTGTTTGCTGTCCCTGTAGACTACATATATTCCCGCAGCATGCATCTACGAACTGAACGGAACCGTTCGTTTAGGGTGATTGAGGCTGTTGGACGGGTAGTACCCGTCCATCCGACGGGTATGCCGGGCTCCCCAACCCGATCTGGGAGTTCGGGCCTCACCTAAAGTAATATCTGCTGGGTCATATTGGGGCGGGCACCCGGGGATCACCTCACGGTGCGCGTGCACTATTCTTGGAAAGAGAAAGAAGAAGGCGCCACATCAGTTTGTTTGACCAGTACGAAGCAGCAACAGCAACAGAAGCAGCAGCAGCAGCAGTAGTTCTAGGTACCGACAGACAGTCTGATTGTTTTCGTTCGTCACTAAAAAACAGCGCTTACCCAACACACAGCATTTTTTCTGCCATGTAGTAGAAGCTCCATCCGATCACCCACAAGTAGCTACACAGAGGGGTTCCTCTCCGTCCGCGCCTCCTGCAGGGCCTGCCTTCGATATTTAGAGCGACAAAAGCACTCCCTCCAGAAAAAAACAACGACCGTGCTCCCCCTGGGTATTGTGGGTATTGTTTCTGAGATCCGGGACCGATTGCGCTCCGTCCAAAGTATCGCCAGGCTTGCATCATATGCATGGTGGTAAATGTTTCGATACTCTGTTGATTGCGTTTCTGATGTCCAGGTTACGTACGAAGGGCCGAGGCGTTTTTCATTATTGTATCATCGCGGTTCCATCGCTTTATTTTGGCCTTCCTTATCGTTTGTGACCACGGGCGGGCGAGCTTGAGAAAATCCCTTTTGGTGCTGCACCTCAATGAGTCGTCCTTTGCTGGACACTGATGGAACCGTTCTAATTGCTGTGGATCGCTACCCAAAGCGACGGAATTGTTGTGTATGTGTTCTAGCCACGAAAACCAAAAGCCTCCCCGCCGCTATGGCTGTGCAGCAAACAGGCCCGAGCGGCCAAAAATAAAAACATCGGAATAGATGGGCTTCGAAAACAACAAGTTAAGCGGAAGAAGCTCAGCGAAGAAAAAAAAAAAGCCGAACAGAAGGGTTTAGAAAACCAAACATTGGCGGAAGAAACAAAACGGATGAAAAAAAAAGCCGGCGGAACACCCCGCAACAAGACCTGATTCGGTTCCTTCCCTCCCCTACTACACGGACGGCATCACCCGCCCTCCCCTCTATCCACATGCACAAAATGACGAATAATTTTGAACGAGAACACGGTGGTTCCTACACTTGTTAACCGCCTTTCTCTTAGACTGATGCTGCATAACACCAAAACCCAAACGATATGTAGACCATGAGACTGCTGCTGCTGCTGTCCGCCAAACAGCAGTCACGTTTTTCTCTTATGGTGCCTAAGCCCAGCCCTCTACCGGTGTTGCCATTAATTTATGGCATGAGCAACGATTTTGCCTTATGAAGGGGCGAGAACAGCGACTGACATGGTCGTTCATCGTCCATCCTTCGTCTTCCAAAACTAGACGACTATCACCGGCCGGCGCGATGAGGAAAACAATCGGCATGCACCGTTCCTGCACCTCAGACAGGAGATCGGGCACTGGCAAGTCAAAATGGGACATACCGCGTGCCGGCGGGAGAAATCCATAAAAAATATGGTAGATAACCACGGATCCATCCAGCCAAGCAAAAAAAAACGACCCACGTAAACGCAGCTTACCCTGACAGCCGAACGCTCTGCCTGCCTACAGTCAGAGAAAGGTCAAGACGCGAAAGCTCCAGACGGGCAACGCCGACGATACTCGTCGAACGTTGCTGCATCAATACTGCCGTATTGTATCATCTTGCCGAACACGATTAAGGTTCAATTCCACCCCTTGTTAGACCTACCCCTACAACAATACTTGGGGTCGTCGCTGCTAAGTTAGAGCTTGGAGAAGTACGACGTCTGGTGGGTGACCATGGAGCGGGAGGCCGAGCTGACCCGTGTGCAGCCCGTGAGCTGAAGGGCCATGACAAGCTCGTCGTGCAAGAGCTTGAGGACCTTCGACACGCCTTCCTCGCCCTAGCACACCCAACCAGGTCATCGATCCAGAGAAACGAAAGCACAGGGAGGGGTTTGACGATCGTGTCGTAGGCGTTTCGTTGAATTTGTCACTACATGCACCATCTTCCGATTCTACGGTCGATGTCACAGAAAATGCAGTCTTTGCAAGGACCGAGCAGTGACGGTTGGGGTTTGGACGTGAGAGGAGGGAGGGTTGGGGGTGGGGGGACGGGGGCTACACAGTTTCTGCACCGAGGTGGANTACCCAGTAGCACTCGTTGGCGATCACCCCTTTTCCCTTCCCGAGGATGTCCGCGCGCATGCGGTTGGCACTTGGCTCAGATGCATCAACGCCGGAGGTTGGCTTAAGCGTCTTCGCGAGTGCCGGCGCGCTGACGCTGCGGTTGGAGTTCACAATCGTACCCGATTCCTCCTCCACACACCTGCGGTTGATGCACTTCTTCCACTTCTTTTCGGGCTGCCCGGTGCAGGCGACAAGCTCTACGGTATTTCCACCTCGGTCACCTCCCAGCTGCCTAGAATCCGCGTTCATACACCGTTCGAAGCCCATGTTGAAGTCCTTGAGATGAAGCAAAAGGCGCACGCACAACCATGGGACCAACAACAATTGACGGAGGTGTGCCCGTGCTTGCCCCAGAGGGGCGGGCGCGCTGCAGGGCAAAACTGCCTCGACATGCTGCCCTCACGAGTCGGTGCAATCGTGGGTGGGGTGTGTGTGTGTGTGTGTGATGATGTTTTGGTTCTCGCTATGCGCGATCCGTCGGCTCGTTGCCCGTTGTGTGTCACGCAGTATGTTGTGGCGTGCGGCGAGTGCGCTTCTCGCCAATGTTTTTCCGTGCCGTGTGGTTGTTGTTGGACACCGAAGGGGTCTGACATGTTCTGACATGTTCCACCGCCGCGGTCCGCAGTCGGTATTTTTGTTTGCGAACGATGCCATGGACACGAAATATGCCATGGATGCGGTATTGAGAAGGTCCAAGGCTTTTCGATGTTCTGCCTGCGGTGACGTCGGGGTGGATTTTCGATGTCCGGGAGTGGACAAAAGTGGGCACAATTCGGAAAAAATGGGTAGAAAAATGGACAGAAGTGGGCACATGAACAAGACAGTATAATAGAAGCCGGCGGGTATACCGACTTGCATGTCGGACAAAAGTTGGCGCTCCGTTGAGGCCTTGTGCGTTGCTGCGGTAGTTGGGCCAAAGATCTGCCTGCAAGTCAGAACAATTGATGCCCGTGCTGTGCATGGTCTCTGGTTATGTTGTTCAGGTGCCACAATGGGGCTTTGAGGCGTTTGGGGGTCGCCTACGTTGTCCGCGCGAGCTGGGTTTTCGAGTACCCGCTTTTGTCCGAGAAAGAGGTGGGAATAACAACTTTAGTCTACTTTCCTACATGCATGTGTGGCACCAAGCAGCCATGTGCGCGAAAGCAATAGGTTGTGGACAAGCCGAAACAACGGGCAGGTGTCCACAGGAAAACATTCGGTGTGTGCGTGTGTCCACGTTTCGTTGGATATCAATCATGATGACAGTAGCACTATTAGATTTACTCACGCTGTGTGCGAGACCCCAGAGCACCGGTCGGCCGATGAAGACCGCCTTGGCGCCGAGAGCGAGAGCCTTGAACACGTCCGTGCCCCGGCAGATACCTCCGTCCAGGTAAATCTCGCAACGGCCGCTTACAGCCGCAACCACCTGCGACAAAGAAAGAGGTATAAAATCGAAAAGAAGACACAAATTGAAGCGGGCCGGTACTGTACGTGCAAGCCGTCACCACCGCGGTCGACAATACTTCGGTGTTGACTGAAACTACTGGGTCTTGCCAAGGCTATCATGGGCAGTACGTACAAGTCCAAATCCATGACCGCAGTCAAAATTGATGGCTGGTCAACAGAAAAAAACGGTCTTTGCAAATGCCGGCGCTGTGCTGTAGGTTCAAAAAGGGGGGGGGGGGGGGGGG